CCCAAAAAACTAGTTTTTGTAATTTTTTTAGGATCAAAGGGTTTCTCAAAGTAATGAGAAATTGATTAAAATATCATCGTTGATATTAGATTTAAAGGAAAATTTTGTATAGAACCCTAATTCCTTATATTATTTCATGGTAGACCCTCTTTCTTTCGAGCGGTATAAAGAACGTACCCCATCATCTCTTATCTCATTCTTTTATTGACTTTTGACTATAAAACTTAGCCCCAACAAATCCTTTTATACCATTTCAACCCAAAAAAAATTTTAATTCTTTTCTTCCCTTCCACCCATTAAAAAAGTTTTTGGGTTGAAATGGTATAAAAATATTTATTGGGGCTAATTTTTATAATCAAAAGTCAATAAAAGAGGGGGATAAGAGATGAGGGGGTCTAGTGAAATCCTTAGAGGTTTCCTTATGCCACTTGCAAAAAAAATAGAGGGCGGATCTACCATGAAATAATATGAGGAATTAGGGTTCTATACGAAATTTTTCCTATATTTAATTTTAGATGTTTTATAAATTTATTATATAGTTTTTTAGAAGATTTTGAGTCCTTAAAAGCACCTTTGAGGTGGAAGTTTGGAGATCGAGCAATCAAAGTAAGTGATTTTTTTTTTACTGCTTATATAAGTTGTATTATTTTGAGATGTTTTCTTCGAATTCTAATAGAAGTAGTGATCCAAGTTGCAAATATCAATCCAATTCCTTCGGATAAAAATTGCATAAAATGCAAGTTTTGTGAAAATGATGCAAAAGGAGGCATAAACCAGTTCAAGAAACATATTGCCGGTATCTGGGGGGTGTTGCCCCTTGTAAAAAAACTTCTGATATTGTTAAAGAGGAAATAAACAATTTTTTTAGTCTTGTAAAAATGAAAAAAAGATGAGAGACATGCCTCCATAGCAGAGATTAAGTCTGAGGCTCGAATCAGTTATGATGATGATGACAGTGATGATGACGAGGAGGGATGTCAAGAGGTAGAACAATCCATTATTATGGAGAAGGGAAAGGGAGATGTAATTGCTTCTGGGAGTTCTTTGCCTAAGAAGCCTCGGGTAAGAGGCCTTATGGATTGTTTTTTGCCCTAGCTTGACCCTAAGGTTACAGGAGAGAAAACAAAGAAGCAAATTACTATTGAAAATAGAGTGAAGATGGAAAAGAGAGATAGAGTTGTTTTTTATGTTGCTATATGGTTTTATGAGGCAAGCATTCCTTCTAATATTGTTCGCCTAAGCAACTTCTAAGCCTTGATAGAAGAAATTGGCCAATTTGGGCCTGGGATGAAACCCCCAACTCCATATGAGTTTTCTGAGCCTCTTTGGAAAAAAACGGTGAGTGCCACAAAGAATGCATGGGTTCAGTATAAAGTTTCTATTATGACTGATGCTTAAAGTGATAGGAAGAGAAAAAACCACATAAATTTGCTGGTGAATTGTCTTTTAGGGATTATTTTTCTTAGGTCTATTGCCTCTAATCATATATATGACGCTCATTACATATTCCAAGTTATAGAGAAGGGAATCAAAGAGGTTGGGGAGCACCTTGTTATATAAGTTGTCACAGAAAATGCTGCTCCTAAAGTTGATGATGCTAATTTGTTGCGCATAGCTTACCCTAAAATATTTTGGACACTGTATGCAGTACATTGTATAGACCTCATGCTTGAGACTCTTAGTGGTTTAACCAAGATATCAGGTGCATCAAAGAAGGCAAAGTCAATTACAAATTTTATTTATAGCCACATTCTCACCATCAACATTATGCGTAGATTTACAAAGAAAAAAGAAGTTGTGAGGCTTGGGGTCACGAGATTTGTAACCTGGTACGCATGCCTAGATAGCATACATTCGAGGAGAATCCAGTTGAGGCAGATGTTTACCTCAGATGACGGAGAGCATGTAAGTAGTCCAAGGATCAAGTTGAGAAGAATGTGAGAGATATTATCATTTCTAAAGCTTTTTGGTGAGGGGTGAAATGTACTCTTAAGGTATTTTTTCTTTTTGTCAAAGTCATTCGCATGGTTGATAGTGACAAGGCTTCTATAAGCTACATATATGAGGCTACGGAGAAATGCAAGAGAGAGATAGCCCAAAATTTAGATGACGATGAGAACCACTATAAACTTGTTTGGAAGACTATTGATGAGAAGTGGGATAAATAGTTACATCGGCCATTGCATGTGGCTGGTTATTATTTGAACCCATTTTTTTTTATTGTTAATAAGGATATGCACACAAATGGCACAATTATGACTAAATTTAATAAGCATGTAGATGTGCTAATCCTTTATCCAGATATTCAAGATATTATGTGTTGATGAGCTGATAATTTACAAGTGCTCATTAAAGTTTTTTGGGAGTCCAATGGCAATGAGATAAAGGACCAAAATTGATCTAGGTAATAATATTTTTAAGTTCATCAAGTTCAACTGTTCAAGTTATCAAGTTTCATTTCTATAATTATTATTATTTATTTATGATTTTATTCTATACCTTTGCAGCCAATTGGTGGAGCCAACATGGGTGTAGTTCTCCAAATTTATAAAAGTTGGCAATTCGGATCTTAAACCTAACCACTTCTTCGTCTGGTTGTGAGCGGAATTGGAGGTACATTGGAAGGGATAAAGGTAATTTGTATTGGTAATTTAGTACTTTAGTAGTTATTAGTTTTGACTATTTTGTAGCATTAGTATTATATATTTAATAATCTTAGTTATTTATATTAATTAGTTTCATTTGATTTTGTTAGATTTATACAAAGAAAATGAACAGGCTTGAATCAAAGAGGCTCAATGACATAGTATATGTTAAGTATAATCAATTCTTGAAGGACATGTTTGCTAAGAGAGATAAGAAAACCTCCCTCAGATAAAAAAATATGGACATGCTATGGAGTGGTTGGTTGATGATGATCAGGTCGAGTGGCATGAAGGATTGACATGGGACATGGTCATCAATGCTTCAAGGACATCAGCCGACCCCCATAGGGTCACTAGATCTTCTGCATAAAGAACGATACTGGAAGAAGAAGCAGATTCATAAGAGACAGACGAGGATGATCATTATGTCGAGGAGGGTGATGAGAATGATTATGGAAACAACTCCAATGCATATGATGCAAATGCAGCTGACCCTACTTTTTCTGATAATGCACGATGATTGAATTTTGAACATTGATTGAAAATTCTTTTGAGTCTTCAAATATTTCTTTCATTTTTGTTTTCCTCCTCTTGATTGTGTATTGTGGATTTGTGGTTTTACTGGTTTGGTATTTGATAACTTTAGTTTAGTAATTTGGTTGGTAGATTTGAAGTTTTAATTATGTCTATGTGTAGAATGTGGATTATCAATCAGACTATGGATAATTCATAATATGGGGTTTTGGTTAATATTGTATGTTCCTATGTGTTGCATAGTATACTTTTGAATTTTGATGTGCCATAAAGCCCTAATTCTTATATTTTATAAGATATATAGTTATACTTATATTGTGATTATACTTTTGAATTTTGATGTGCCCTAACTCACTAATTCTTATATTGTTAGAGACTATATAGTCCTTTTTTTCTACTGAGCGCCTACCTAAGCCTGTCGACCCCAGGCCGCCTAGGACCCGCCTAGTGCTTTTTTTCTATCTCTTTGAGTAAACTTGAAAGACAGTGACCCCGAACTTCAAAAGTTGGTAGTAAAGGGCGCCAACCATCTTCATATTTTCAGCAATTCTTTGGCGCATATGGTATCGGATCCTTGTTGGAGTTGACGATCCTGCATTATATTAGCCATCTTGAGTTGGGATCCATCATCCTCCCTACCTTTTTAAGGGTTTATAGCATAGGATGAGGCTTGTATGGTCGTCCATGTGCGTTAACGAGTTGCCCTATATAATATTTATTATTTGGACTCTATATGCTGATGAAGCTGGGGATAGGGTGCTCTGATGCAAAAAAACCCCCCACAAATTGGTCCCCAGAAGTTGGCTGATAAAAAAAAACGCAGAATTCGACGACATTTGGGTATTAAGGCTGGTTTCTGATCTCCATAAGTTTCCTTGAGCATGTACCTTTAGATTTGCTCTTGCATGAGTGATCCGGATGGGTACCTTCTATGACATAGGTTTGCTCCCACCGGATGGGTGCCTTCTATGACATAGGTTTGCCCCCACTTCAAATCTTAAAGGGACAGGCGTGGCCGACATAAGTTTACTCTCTCGTTGTCGGCTTGGATGGGTACCCTTTTATTACACAGGTCTACGGCTTGGATGGGTACCCTTTTATTACACTGGTCTACTCCCACCGCGAATCTTCAAAGTGATTTTTCTTGCAATAGTTCCAAGGACCAATTCTGGACATATTTCCTAGAATTTAGAATAATGGGTTTTTTTGTATGAGCCTGGTTTCAGACACCACTTGTTGTGTCAGACACCACTGGTTGATTTAGCAAGGAATTGTACCCTGCGTAGCACGAGTTATTGAAGTGCTCTCGCAGAGTTTTACCTGAACTTGGTGAGAAGGTGAAAAGGACTCCATTATCCGAATTTTTCAGCCCTGAAAAAACATAAATACCCTTACATAAATCAAATAAATTACATGACAAAATAATATTAGTTTTCATATCTAACCTCATCGATAGTGGTGGAGAGGTGCTCTTTTCAACTAGTCATGCACGAGGTCAGGTCCATTTTGTTAGTGTAGTGGTTTTAAATAACTCCTCATTTGTAGTTTGTTGTACCGCTGACTATGTGGGTTGCAATCATATTCATCATCATAGCCTCTTTTTCCAATTAATTGAGATCGACACACGAATCCTAATCCATCTCAGTTGTATTTAAAACATATGGACTGCAATGTGGAAATAAATTTTGACACAAGTGAACAAGTTAGTGATTAAAACTAAAAGTAAAAATAAAAAACATAATCCATTTTTGGGACTTGGGTTTGCAGTATTACTTGCAGTAACAGCAGGCAGCAGGTTCTAAAAAAATGAGAACTGAAATCTTCCTTCCATCTACATGGCATAATATGCCTTTTTTTTTTAATTGGTATAATACGCTTTGACATCATATGATCACAATACAAATGTAGTACCTTCATCTCCTCTAATTGAAGAGAGATTGACTGTTCATGCTAACATAGCTTGTATGCTGAGATGAGCCTCCCCCAAAAGAAAAAAAGAGTATATATTCTGAGTTTCAGCAACAACAAAAAAATAGAAAAAAGAACCCCTCGAAGGACAAAATTACAGGGATGCTGATAAGAAACACAACTTCGGGAAAATTTGAGACCCACAGGCCATTACATGTAACACATCCTCACTCATAAGCTTTCTCCCAGTCCTCCACCTCCTCAGGCTCCCCCCCATTACTTTGCCCAGTATGACTCACTCCACTCAAACTCAAACTCAAAGAAGCCTCTGCCTTACTCTCAGAAATCTGAGAACTTTCAGAAATTTGTGGAACCAAGCTACTCCTCTGTGAACTACCAACCTCCTTATCAAGCACATTCCATGGATTCCTCGAGGCCATGATCGGTTTCTCCTTAGTTTTCCATCCAGGCTGAGAAGCTTCACCACTAGACCACTCCTCACCCCATGAATCTTCCAACCACCCTGTTTCTGGAACAGCCTTCTTCCAAGCATTGGCCTTAACCCCAAAGTTTCCACCGTCCCGAACCCCCCAAGCGTTCAAACTCAAAGAACCAACATTTTGCAAAACCACAGCTCCAATGTAGGCTGAACCGTGGTCTAGGCGCCTAAGAGCAGTCGCTGCTCTTGCAGGTTCACCAAAAACAGCTAAAGCATTCCTATCGTTCAACCACACAAGCTCGCATTCTCCACCAAACCTAAGTATCAGAGCACTTACATCTGAATCCCTTGGTAAATCAAACAACGCAACCACAAGCCTTGGGTCCATGTCTATTGATGAATCAAAGGGTGGGGCTTGTTGCCCTATTGCAGCAGGGACAGATCCCCCTCTAAAACCTAGAATCCGAGCTGGAGGCTTAGATTTTGGAGTTACATGTACCACGAGGAATCGACGTGGTTCCCATCCAGCAGCGTGGATGCTAAGTTTCCATCTCTCCGCGATTTGCCTAATTGCATCCCTTTTCTCCTTTGGGGCAGCACAAAAAACATGCACTCTAATGCTATTTGGGCTCCCTTTGCCCTTACCCAACACCAAATACTTGCATCTCTCCTCTATGGCCATGACCCACTTCGGATCTCTCCTCATCAAATCTGTAAGGTACTCTGAAACGGCTGCACTCTCACCAAAATGAAGTGCATCAACATTTGTTGATATCTCAAAAGCATCAGCCAAAACCCTCTTTCTCTCTAATTTTGCACATTCGTCATCACAAATGAACTTCCTTTGCCCAAGAGGTACCCTACCAGAGCTGGTAGAACTATCAATGGGTTGAAGGGGAACAGGCAACTTTTCGGCTACAGAGGCTTCATAGACAGTATCAACATAAACTGAACTACCACCTGCACTACAAGGAACAGAAGATGAAATTCTACCACAGTTACAAGTGATGGTCACCTGAAAATTGCATCTTTGATCGGGGCAAAGCTGACCAGGATGGCACTCAGCAGCACATGTGTGCCTGCAATCTCTCCTAGGAGCCCCACACACTTGCCCACAAGATCTCCTAGAGAACAAATCACCCGAAACCCCAGAGAGTGAATCACCGGAAGGAGGTGGATCGCAAGGGGAAGGATGACAAGTTCTTGCACAAGCGTGCATGCCACATTGCCTAGTCTTTCCACAAAGCTTATTGCATCGAATATCACGAGATCCACATGGTATGTTTCTTAGTACCAGGTGCCCCCCTACACATTCCTTTGCTATGGGTACAGTGCATGGAGGGCAGTCACCAAAATGACAACTATGAGAGGCAGGGTGGCCACACGGTTGGGGCACTGAACATGGGTGTTGGCAAGAGGGTGGCAGGGTACCACAGGGCACCGGAGGGGATATGGAGGTCTTTCCACATGCACAAGAGAGATCAGTGAATATAGTTTCAAGGCAAGGTGGGCAATGGCCACTATGACATAGAATACCACAGGTGTGTTGCCCACACCTAAGCTTTTTGCCACAAATCATTTGGCACAAATGGGGGTCCCAATCGAAGGAATAAGGCTCTTCTCGACCCTTTGGATTTGAGAGAGGGCAACACCTCTCATTGCACCTGTGTCTACCACAATTCTTCTTATGCCCACAACTTTTGTCGCAAAGGAAACCATCTTGATCAGATGGTATCATGGTTTTGTAGCAAGGAACTGTTCTAGATGAAGACCCACACCGACATTTTTGGGTAACCAGTATTTGGCAAGGTGGGCATGCCCCTTCATGGCATGAGGCCTCACAAGAGTGATGGCCACAAGGCAATGTCCTTTCACAAGCTTTTGAGCAGGTTAGTATAGGATCCAAGCAACTCTTTCGAGTATTCAGCAATTGGGTCTTTCCACAAGGGCAAGTCTTCATCTTCCATGGCACCAATTCACATTCCCCACACTCTCCTGGATGGCAACTCTTCTCACACTGATGGTTTCCACAAGAAAGCAGCTTTCTACACAAACCCCCACAAGAAAAGATCCCCGAAAAAGAACCCAACTCACCCTTAATCCCCATCTCTCCACAAAGGAGAGCATGCTCCTTCTTTCCACAAAAACACAAGGCATTAAGCAAAAACTCACAAGAATTGCAGGGCCCAACATGGCAAGCTTCTTCACAGTAATGCCGCCCACACCCCAGAAGCTTACCACATGGTTGCCCACACGAAGGCACCGACTTTCTATCAGAGCACCTCCTTGTTAGAGTTGTCTTTCCACATGGGCATGGCTGAGGAGGAGCAAAGGCTTTACAAGGAGGGCAAGGTCCAGGGTGACATTGAAGAACACAGAGGTGAGGACATAGAGGGTTTGGGATTTTATCAAGGGCTTTTCCACATGGTTCTCCACAAGAGTGAGGAGTTAGGTAGAAATCAGAAGGTGGATCTCTCCTTTTACCACAAAAACAAGTGTATCTTAGCTCTTCAGGCGTGGCCATTTGAACAGATTGGCACCCAGGGCATCTCCAGTTCGATCCTTGCGTTGTTTCGACTGATAAATCAACAGATGTAGGAGCTTTTGCCCACTTTTTCACACAGTTGAGATGAAAGATAGAGAAGCAACTACCACAAGACCAGATTGAAGCTGACCTTCCAACCACATCGAAGCATATCATGCATTCAATTGCACCTTTGGTGAGCTTCTCTTGTATCTCTTGCACCAGTTGAGGGACATGAGAGATGGTCAGTTCATGTGATCTTCCTTTCTCTATCTGCCTTTGTCTCTCTACATCCTTCCTGCCTCCATGAGCTGTGCGCCTTTCTCTCTCTAGCTCCTTTGAAAATCCTCCACTGCTTTGCCTGAATCTGCTGTTTCCATGTACTCTGGGATGAGAACCAGAAGGATTAACACCAAGTACGCCCCTCTCCACACATTCTCTTGCAAAATCACCTCTCTGTTGACCACGAATGGAACTATCACATTGGACACGTCTTGATTCAAACCCTAAATCTGAACCACCAGAGTAAACCACTGGAGCAGAAGCACCACCAGTCTGATCACCTATTCTAGGGCTCCCAGAATTAACTTGGTTTGGATTCTGGTAATCCCTTGAGTTTCTGGTATCAGATCGATCAGAATTAGGGCGATCTCTTGAAATTCTCAAATCAAAACGATCAGAATTCCGGTAGTTTCTCGAGTTTCTGGCATCAAGTCGATCAGGATTCACCTGATTTCTCAAGTTCCTCACATCAAATCTATCAGAACTCTGATACCCTGTTGAGTTTCCAAAACCGAATCGATCAGAACCAGCGTACTCTCTCGTGCTGATCAAATTTAAAACTGATTCAGGGTTTCTGGTTTCAGAGCTAGGGCTAGGGCTAGGGCTTGGGTTAGGGTTTCTGGTTCTTGGGACCCATTCCCCGCGCCAGCCCCTCCCTTCATTTCTGCTTCCGACTCCGGGGCTCATCCTCGTCGAAACCAGGAAAGGAGGCCCTAAAAGAGACGGATGAATCTTGAAAAAAAAAGTGGAGAGAGAGAGAAAGGAACACAGAAATGGGAAGAGAGAGAATAACAAGATAAGAAATACAAAAGGGTAGAGAGAGACACCTGCCAACGACAAATGTGGAAATACGGAAGAGAGAGGAGATAGAAAAAATGTGGAAGAGCGAGGACGGAGACAAAATATGGAAGAGAGAAGGGAGAAGAGAAGAGGAGAGAGAATAAGAGGAAACGGAAGAGAGAGAAAATATGGAAGATAGAGGAGAGAGAATATGAGGAAATGGAAGAGAGGGACAATATGGAAGAGAGAGAGGAGAGAGAGATATGAAATAAGAAGAGGAGAGAGAAGAAGCAGAGGCTGGTTGATGAGAGAGGAGAGGTGGAGTTGAAGTGAAGGTGCATTTATAGGAGAGACGGAGGCTTGAGGCCAAAGCAAGGGTCAAGGGAAGGTGCATCTATTTGACCCACCTTAACTTTGGAAATAGAGGAAAAGCCCTTACTTGACTACCTGTGTTGAAAAAAAAAAGTGTGTCGAATCACTGGATCGGTAATTTGGATCGCAAATCCACTGGATTGCGAGTCTAAAAGTATTTTAAAAAATATTATGAAAATCTAATGTTTTAAATTTTTAAAAGAAATAGCGACAACAACTGTATTATAATTTTTCACTATTATGTAAAATATATATAAAGACTAAAAATTTATTTCATGTCGAGTATTTATTACCGATTAAATTTATTTTCTAGTCAAAATAAAATTTAAAAGCAATATGATAATAAAATGAATTTCTTTGATTCATTTTATTTTTATTAATTTATTAATTTTGATTTTAAAAAAATAATTATATAAAAAATTTAATAAAAAAATTATTAGTAGAGAGAGGTAATTGATTATTCGCTTATTTATGGAGAAAGACAGTTTTAAGACAACCGATTCTTTGTAGAGCGAGGCAAGGTGGGTGGCAGAGCCTACATGGTAGTAGCTCTACCAAAGGTGAGATGCGTGTCGGTGGGGCCTGCCTTTTAGCTTTTTACAATAAGCTGCCGGGGAGGTGTGTACTGCTAGGGTCCACGAGTTAGATTTTTAAAAAATACTGTGCCCTTTGTTTTATAAAATAATTTCAGAAGTGCCTTCGGAAAAACATTTTAAAAAATACAGGTTTCTCTCATTCAAAATCAATACGTTACATAATCTGCCAATTTAAATAACTGGGACTCTCAATATATTGAGAATTTTTATTTTTTCAAAAAATCCTTCACTTCAAATTTTCGATGTTCGAATTAACAACAAATTCAGAGCGATGTTTGAAGTAACTTTTGATACAATAACTTTACACCTTGTCGAACAATTTCAATTTGAATCACCAAATTTTCAAACATTTCTATATAGTGGAATTTCCGAATTTCATAAATTATTCCTTACAGTCTTTTCTTTTTTTTCTTTTTTTCTTTTGTTTTTTTTCTTTCTTTCTTTTTTTTCAATTTTTGGGCTTTTGAATCAGTTTTTTTTATACTTTTACAGAGCAATAATTCATAGAAATAATTGAGGTTAGTCTATAAGAAGCATATTTCGTTCAACAAATCACATCTATTTTATTGATATTTGAGAAAAAAAATTTCATGACTGTTTTTTAACCATCCGCCCATCCTCAAAAATCTAAATTTTTGCTAGATGTTTGTGGGGATCATGCTATAGTATCAAAGGTTTGGCTCGCGAGAAAGAACATATTTTTGTGAATCTAGTCCAAAAATGTTTGGACCTTGTTGCACGCGTTCTTCTAGCAATCACCCAAAAAGATTGAGATTTTGGTTGTTTTTTTTTAAATACCAGTGAGTTCTTGATCTAGAAACCTATTTATCAATTTGTATTTTTTTTTTTTGGCTTGAATTTGCGATAATCTTAGGGCTTCCTAAAATCGGCCATTTTCTTTTTTTATTTCTTCTTCAAATTTGAATTAAATTTCTTAAAATTAGTTCAAATTGATTATAGTGAACCTATCTACAATATTCTAGATCCAATCCAAAGATTTAAAGTGGGTTTTGACCAAAAGTTGCTGGTTTCTGAAAAATCCTTTTTTAAAAATAAATTATTGAATAATTATGTAGGGGTTTTGATGCATATGTTATTGGGAAGAATTAGTGTTAAGAATTCGTTTTTTTTAATTTTTATAATTATCTCGATTTTTATGGCTCAAATTTCAATTTTGAGGGAAAATATCATTTTTAAAGAATTTTTTTATGTTACAATATGGAAATTTGCGGGGCAATTATCTCGATTTTTATGGCTCAATTTTCCTAGCCGAAAGAAGGTATTTCGGTTAAAAGAAAAAATAAAAATAAAAATCAACTTGGGAGAATGTTGCCCAAAAAGATACTATTGAGTTAATAATGGGTATCAAAAGTACTAATTTTTTTTCGGTAAAATTTTATATAGAGTCGAGGCTCTAAACAATTAAATTTGAGCCTACCTCAAAAATTTCACTAGAAGAGGTTGTTTTGATGCCCAAATATCCTCAAATTAATCATCTCAACATCAAGATACATCATGGACATGAGAAAAAAAAAGGATTTCAAGTTATGGAAATAGTGTATTTTGTAATGTACTTTTGGACCATCAATTTTCAAGATTTTCAAGTTTTGATCGACACTATTTCTTAAGCTTTAAACTCTATAAATAAAAATAATAATATATTTTAAGGCGATCACAAATATTTGCGGTATTGAAACTACATTTCTCGATACTATTTGAAGGTACACTCTAATTTAATTGTTTAGAGCCTAGACTCTATACAAATTGTACCTTCTTTTCTGTATTTTGGATTGTATATAATGAGACCATTTACCTTTAGTATAGGGAGGTCACAATTTCATATAACCATACGATGCGAAATCTGATAGCTTAGATGTGTCACAAAGTTCCAAAAAAAATTATTTATACTTTAAGCTTGGTCAATGAAATAAATCCAGCCACCCAATTTCACATCCAATGGTCAAGATTAATTGTGACCACTTTTTACTCAAGATAAATAGTCTCATTATATACCCTCCCTTTTTTTCTAGAGAGAGGGGGGTATATGCCTAGAAAGTACATACCAGATGTATCTATAGTTTTCCCTAATATCTTCAAATTGATCATCTCAACATTAAGATGCATGGACATAAGAAAAAAATGGATTTCAAGTTTTGGAAATAGTGCATCTTGTAATGCATTTTTAGACAGTCAATTTTCAAGATTTTCAAGTTTTCATAGATCTGCTTGATCCACACTATTTTTTAAGATTTAAATTTTATAATTAAAGGTGAAAATATATTTTAAGGCTATCGCATGGATTTCCAGTATTGAAACCACATTTATCGATACTATTTAATGGTGCGCTTTATTTTGATTGTTTAGATCTTTGGCTCTATCCAAACTGCAACCAATCTGGAAAAAATTTATATAGAGTTGAGGCTCTAAACAATCAAATTAGAGCCCATCTCAAAATTTACTCTAGAAGAGATTGTTTTGATGCCCAAATATCCTCAAATTGATCATCGCAACATCAAGATGCTTGGACAAGAGAAAAAAATAGATTTCAAGTTTTGAAAAAAGTGCATCTTGTAAAGCATTTTTAGATCATCAATTTTCAAGATTTTCAAGTTTTCATAGATCTACTTGATCCACACTATTTTTGAAGCTTTAGATTTTATAATTAAAGATGAAAATATGTTTTAAGGTTATCACAAATATTTCCAGTATTGAAACCACATTTCTCGATACTATTTAAAGGTGCGCTTTACTTTGATTGTTTAGAGCCTCGCTCTATACAAATTGCACCCAATATGGAAAAAGTTTATACATAGAGTTGAGGCTCTAAACAATCAAATTAGGGCCCATCTCAAAAAGTTCACTAGAAGATGTTGTTTTGATCCCCAAATATCCTCAAATTGATCATCTCATCAATCAAATTAATCATCTCAACATCAAGATGCATGGACATGAGAAAAAAAAAAAATGGCTTTCAAGTTTTGGAAATAGTGCTTCTTGCAATGAATTTGTAGACCGTCAATTTTTAAGATTTTCAAGTTTTCATAGATTTACTTGATCCACACTATATTTAAAGCTTTAAATTTTTATAATTAAAGATGAAAATATATTTTAAGGCTATCACAAAGATTTCCAGTATTGAAACCACATTTCTCAATACTATTTAAAGGTGAGCTTTACTTTGATTGTTTAGAGCCTCGGCTCTATACAAACTGTACCTAATATGGAAAATGTTTATATAGAGCTGAGGCTCTAAACAATCAAATTCGAGCCCATCTGAAAAATTGCACTAGAAAAGGTTTTTTTGATGTTTAAATATCCTCAAATTGATCATCTCAACATCAAGATGTGTGGACATGGAAAAAAAATGGATTTAAAGTTTTGGAAATAGTGCATCTTGTAATGCATTTTTAGACCATCAATTTTTAATATGTTGAAGTTTTCATAGATCTGCTTGATCCACACTATTTTTGAAGCTTTAAATTTTATTATTAAAGATGAAAATATATCTTAAGGCTATCACAAAGATTTCTAATATTGAAACTACATTTCTCGACACTTTTAAAAAGTGCATTTTACTTTGATTGTTTAGAGCCTCGGCTCTATACAAACTGCACCCTTATAATATAGGATCCCTAAGCATGAACATAACCTCTCTTACGAATTGAAAGATATTAGGACACTTAACAGTCAGCCGCGGCCTACATGTCCATGGTGCGGGAAAAAACTTAACAAGCCTTTTCTATAGACTTGCGAAGCTTAAAGGTTAAGCACCTAAAGCATAGACGGGCTGCAAAAAACGTGTTAGATTAATGAAAATTTTGCATTTCTATTACTCACCAACTCCTTTAAATGAGATTATTTTGGGACCTCAATCCTTCCGGTGAACTTTTTGGTGAAATCAGTATATCGACTTCTCTATGAGGATCGTAGAATAGATATTGATTGAGTTATCTGTGAGGGTTGTAGAAGAGATATTGATCACCTTTTCTTCAAGATTTCGAGTCCATCGACACCCTTAAAGTTCTGGCTTTTCTTTTAAGTGCATGTGAAGGAACATGGGCAACTACACATTACGTGAGAAGAAGAGGTTTCATTATTTCAGGTGTGTCATTATCTTTTCTTTCTTTGTCCTTTCATATCTCATTTTTTAAAGTTGGGTAGACTGAACTTGCATCTTTAAATCCCTAATACGAAGAGGGCACCTGTTACAACAATGCCATCCCCTGCCTTTCGAAGTTGGGTACAATTATGGGGAAAGCTAGTATCATTGGGAACATTTAGTATGAAAAGAATAGAATAATTTTTTCGGACAAGCCGTTGGAGCGTGAGCCCAAATCCAATGTTCAGATTGGATCTCAAAAGATTGCAAATTTGTCACTAAGGAGCAGATATTCTCAATTTTTCAGAAATTATATATTATATTGCGTGTAGGAATAGAAGAGTCATAATATGAAAGGTCCCACCGAAAAATGTCCTGAAATTATACTTTGATGGTAGCTTGTGGGGTAATTTAGGGAGAGGGTATGGCCTTGTCAAAGATCATCGGGGCAGCAGGGGGAGGGGGTGCGGGGTGGGGGGTCACGTCGAATGTGGCTGAAGCTAAGGCTTTACTTCAGAGCTTCAGGGGCTAAGGTGAGTGTAATAGCTAAAGGGGATTCTTCTAATACGATCTCTTGGTGTAGGGGGCGTGCTAAGTCCTGGGAGACTTATTCCTCTGATTCAAGGGATTAAATACCTTACTGACATTCAATATTTCTTAATTTCACTTTCAGGGAAGCAAATATGGAGGCTGATTGTTTAGCCAAACGCCAAAGCGGTATTCGCAAACAATCGTTGGTTTTCACCAATTTTTCTGTATAAAATTTTTGTGCTTGTTTCTTAGGAAATAATGAAAGACTCATTTATTATTCAAAAAAATAAAAAGAAAAATAAAGCAGACTTAATAGCAAGAATTGCAATGCCTGAAAAGTGGTTCAAGCGACAATGACATATCTACCATTACAGCAATCATAACCACTAAGATAAAGGTTACAAAGAACGCATTATTTTAGTACAATTGTTATTTGCTTGTTAAAATATTGCCAGTTTGATTCGGAGCAGGCCGAGTCGATCCAGATTTCGAAACTAATTGGTATGAGTCTCAAGATAACTTGGGCGAGTCGAAGTGTGAAACCCTTTCTCATGCTTTAAAACATGAACATTATTTTTTTCCTTTTTCTTTTTTTTTTTGTTAGCGAGGGGATGATATTTGGGAATATGGATCAATAATTGATCCCAAGATATTAAGCCCCGCCTTGATTCATAGCAGCATAGCCCAATCTTAGAGTAATCCAAAACAAGATTCACTTGCTCATTTTCCCAATTTTTCGTGTTTTCTAAATCAAATATTGCAGTCCTTAGAGCTCAAAACCACTGTTCCGTCAAATTATCAGGTTCTCGCTCAAATCACAACCAAATGCCCTCGAATTTGCTTCGTTTCAAATATTTTTGAGTCCTCTATCCAAGCCATCAGCAAAAGAAAAAAAATGGATCAAATCTAGCCTAAGATCAATTGAGTACTCATTGATTTATGTCGCTTACTTTCTTAACATAGAAACAGGAAAGTCTTGACCACCGTCCGGGGCTGGAGTGCAAGATAACAGCTCCAAACGAGAGTGCAACGTGGATCCGTAAGTCAGTCTTCTACTTTCAAGCAGGCAGTTAGCTAATAGCAATATCTACTTTCAGTCAGTCTTCCAAGCAAACAGGCAGTAGGCACTACCACTTTCAAGCAGGCGGTTGGCATTAATATCTCCATCTTTCCCGCCAGTTTGCAACTCTCCAATGCGTTACGTCTTGGCATTAATATCTCCATCTTTCCCGCCACTTTGCAACTCTCCAATGCGTTACGTCTTTCTCTTTGATGCTCAGAATTCTTAAGTTTTTTGGAGTCTCAGTTAACAATTTTTAGTTGAGGATTTTAGGAAACTCATATTTTTTTATATAAATTACGTTGCAGTTAATTTTTCTGTTGATATTTTCTATAAGTTCTAATGAAATCAAGTTATTTTGGGTTGTTTCTCTAGTGTTCAAAAAATACGCCACAGATTCTTTAATTTTAATTTTCTAAATACTATGTTTTGTTGTGTTCGAAGTTCTATTGGATAATTTAATTATTTTTTAAAACTATAGTCGCACAGATAACTAGGTCTCCAAATCCCAGAATTATTCCTCACCACCAGTGTGATGTTCAGAACGGCAACAAAAATTGGGAGCCCGCATGTCTTTCCTCTTAGAATACATTGTTTTCACTCATTTGAAAAAAATATTGATATTTAATTGATTCTATGGGTACCATTGTTGAAATTTAATGCATTTTAAACTTTCAAATGACCCTAATATTTACATAAGAACCAGACTTTGGGTGTTCATACGCCTTTAGCAACTTCATCAAGATATACATGGTCAATTTTTTACAATTCAACCCATTTTGAATTTTCAATTTTTTTAATATTTCTGAACAAAAAATTACCAACTCAATGAGGCTGAATCGGTCAAACTGGTCCAACTAGGCCGACTCTGCCAATTCACTGGCTCAACTAGGACCTAGCGGGTGACTAGTCAGGCCACCCGAGCGGTTTTTCAAAAACTTAGCGTTAGCCCATAAACCCTGTTAAACAAACGCAGATGAATGTAGAATCCGGAGCAGTGGGAATCATCCATGTGCATATATAATGTGATGGAGCTAAGCCACGGAAAATTCAAGAAAATTCTTTACAGTCCCAACGTGATAAGGGGTCTCCTTATTTTTTCCATTGTAAGCAAACGGAGGATTTTAAAACATTCCATGAAACCCGTTTCTTCCTTGGACGTTTTTCAACAATACCTGTTGAACCATACAGATTTTGATCTCAGGGTCGAGCTCCCGTTGCCCCAGAATCCCTTTCACATATGCAAGGCGAGGGGCTCAATTACCGTCCTGCCAAACCCACACAGAACCAAAATTGTAACACATGCAAAACACCAATCCATGCTGAAAATAAAATGGTTTTTTATTCGGTTCCATAGAATGGGGTTATTCATCACCACTTGCAGCATCATCATCTGGATCAAAATCTTTAACCTTCACATCTGCATCTTCTCCAAACTGGATGCAATTGTCAATCGTCGAAAGCACAAATTGGATGCTGCATAAGGTGTTAACCATCGTTTCAGAAATGCAACATGAATTAAGATATACAAAGCAATTACAACGAACCGTGGCACATACATACTCTAAAGGTACATGTGCGAATCCTTCCCGACTGATGAATGGTTAGAGATTAACTAATGGTAGACATACGGCCATTAATCTGAGTGTAGTGAACTCCTAACCATCCATCAGTGGAAGGGATGTTTGATGTAACCTAAACAGTTACCACAAACCATAGTCCATTATATTGTGGCCTACCACGGCTACGAGAAAATTTGAAATACATCGTACCTACTTTCCTTCCTCAAGTCAAGAGGCAAGAAATTCACCATGCTGTAATCATCAACCTATGAAACAAAGAGCACATAGGTAGTTGTTAGTCAACTGAAAAACATTGAATGCTACTTAGGTTATTGGAGAAATGACCCTAAAGAGGTATTTATTCAATCATGATCAAAATAGTTATTTTAATTTCATTTTCTTTCATTTTATTTTCATAATATCTAGCTCAGTTACTCAAAATCAGATATCAGGATTGATACAAAGAGCTCCGAACTAGATGATCTGTAGCTAGACACACACCACTGATATTTGCAATCAGTGAACGGATAAGTAAATTCAACCTTTAGTAAACCTCACAAACCCTAGGACTCAAAAGCCACAGAAGAACCATAAAATATATAACAATATTTTCTTGGAATATTTTTAGAAATGGCAATATTCATGTTGCCATGGATCATAGTAGCAAGGGGATTCAGTGCACTGGGACTAGTTGACATGGATAGAGGAGAAGGCAGGAGTCGGAGAAATTAACCAGTCCTTGGGAGCTCAAATCACGCCACAATCGGAGACTAAGAGTCTAAAAACCTTCATGAAGAACTTGGTCATGGCAAGACTGGAGAAAGAAGCAATCAATTTCAGTCACAACTCGCAAGAAAGTATTTCTGGTGTTACAGTGGAGGTATTAGTGCGACTTGAATTAAGGAACACATTCAGGCCAGAGGAAATCTGAAGTGGAATAAAGAAGTCTTAAGGAAGCAATGAATTTGGTTTTAGATTAGGAAAAGTGCAGCGTGAGTCAGCTGGCGCAACAGCCCGCTAACTGGCAAACGTCCACCCTAAAGATGGACATTGTACAACATACGTAATGTATGGACGGTGTACAAAATAAATGCCAAAAAATATTTTTTTAATTTTAAAAATTTATTTTTCTTTTTATATTCAAGATCACCTTGGCCTAGATGATGGATCTATAAAAGAACTAGTTAAAAATCTAACTTTAGAATGGATTTTTGAAGGGGGCCGCATATGTACATATGAGTAGGCTTACTCATAGAAGCCTCATTCTTCATAGTACATAAGAGAGTTAATTCCATTGATTCAAAAAGCAGTCTACCCAGCGCCTAGGCGGGCTAGGGGAGCCTGGGCGCATCGCCCAGGCCTGGGGGGACCAACTAGGCAGGCAGCCCCCAGAGTGCCTGGGCAGGCCCCCAGAGTGCCTAGGCAGGTGCCCAGAGTACCTAGGTGGGTGTCCAAGGGACTACGCCCGCCTAGGTGCAAAAATATCCATCGGGTGGGGCATTTTTGGTTTTTTTATTAAAAAAATTGCATGAATATGCATTTTTTAAACAAAATACGGACCTAAAACAACATACTTGACACCCATTGCCCCCTTCTGAACCTAGGCCGCTCAAATCCCTAGGCGGCCTAAACCCCTCAGCCACCTAGGCACCACCCAGCGTTTTTTGGAACACCGGTTAATTCCATCACTAACTGAGAAGTGCAAAAGGGCCAAACTCCAAACAAATTACAGGTGGGCACAATCAGCTAGAGACAAATCAAGGATTGGTTTATTATGCGATACCTTTGAGAATTGGCAAGCATAATTAGCTCACATGGGGCCTATAGTAAAGAGTGGGTAGGATCCCAGTAAAGGTCACTGTCTTCCCATATGTGCATAAATGCCATTATTATTGCATTCTTATTCAGCATAATTAGATTCAGCTTTCCATGGTTATTGCATTGTTATTCAGCAATCCTGACCACGACATATCTCTTTATTAGAGGCAGAAAAGCTGGAGAAGATTCCCATGAATACTTTAGAAAGGCTTGCATCTAGAAAATTTGGGTTAGATGAGAGGTGTGGCCACCAAAGCTCGAGGGTTCTAAAAAAGATAACATCTCTAACAATGGATCCCAGGTTCCTCATCAGTTCCAAAAAATTTATGATAGGATATCAGGATTTATACAAAGATCTACTTGGCATTTCAGAGGTATTTCCAGAGTCTCCAAACATAATAGTTTCTTCTTGGTCTTCAGCCTCTTTTCCAAAAAGGGAGGGGCCATTTTCTTAAGAGATGCTGCTTTTGGAGGGAGCATAATAAACAATTTTTTAGAGCGAAGAAGGAAAAGGGGAGGAAAGAAAAACTTCCGGGATCTTATAAAGGATGAATTCAAAGAAGCAGATGCCTAGAACCAAGCGCGAAATAGAACTAATGTGCTCTACAAATGGAAACTTGACTTTAACACTAAGTCCATTTGGAAATCTGAATCAAATGTAGGGAGGGGACTAAGATGAAACGCATTGCTGCAGCATGACAGGCAATCATGATGTCAACTAGGGTGCCAATTCAATAAAGAAGCTCTAGATTGATCCTCTAATAATTGAAGGGGATTTTTGAAAGTGATTTGCTGAACCAGAAGTAAAGTTCCCTATCCCAGCACATAAGCAGATGCATTTGGGCATAGATGACAATTTAGAGATATCTAGCTCTGTAAAGATCTGATGTCAAAAAAAGTAAATCAGGGCAGAATTAAAAATTCTACTGCGTTTGCCATTCAATACAACACTTCTAAGTTTGCAATGTATTTTCTGTTCCAAAAGCTGTTATAAAGTAACTTAACTCAGAAGTAAAAAACACTATTGTCTTTCACAGGGTAAAGAGCAATGTAGCGAAAGGAAAGCATTCGGTAGTCGATAAGAGGATCGCATTTGTTAATGATTAATATGCCATTAACTAAGCATACAAAATTAATCCATTTAAGAGATTTTGCTGAGTAATGCTACAATAAAATGAGCTAAGAGAATCCAGAATTCAGAATGTGTTCTATGGGTCAAAAGTGAAACTTCAAACCCAAGACCAGTTCTGATAGTACTATAATCCTTACAAACCCTAAAAATGAATTCTTTTGAACCATGACTATGGCTCACCAATAGAGTCAGGACGACATAGGGCCAATCACTTACCAGCTCTGCCAAAGCTTCATTCAGTTTTGTGAACTTTGGTGCCATATGTTGATTCAATTCTGACAGCAATACCCGTGCCTCTGGATTTAAATAGCTGCAAATAGGGAAAAGCATGGAACAATATCAAACTCTAATTGTGATGAACATATGTAAAACTGTTATAAGAACCACAAAACGAAAAATTTACTCACTCATCAAGTCCTTTCTTGTTCGTAACGAGGTCCATCTTAGAGAGAATATTAACATGGGGAAGTTCAAGCTGAACCATTGCCGAAAGAGATGCCATGCAGCCACTTATATACTTGGTCACATCCGTCATGAACTGAAATGTATTAAGGGACAGCATTTATGCACAAGGAGTTGCCGCCATGCACATTACATGAAAACACATTAATTTTTGTGAATGAAATGGTGGAGCATTTGAGATGGTTTCTGATGTGAAAAATGAAATAAACGTATGAAGGGGGGTAAGAAAAAACTGAAATGCTTTTGGACATATATATCTATTTTACAAGTCAAAATTATGTTTATTCTGACAATCTAAAAAAACTATTTTACAGGTTAAAATTTTATTTCTGCTGACAACATAATCAAAGAAGGGTTATTTGTTTCATGCAAGGGATACTCAAAGACGCTAAATACATGCCACATTTTTGTTCTGAAAATACGATCGTTTAGGCCAGGTCCAAGGACTAGGAAGATATTAATGAATGGGAAGGAAACGAAGCAAAAAAGGATAAAATATTTAAAATAAACATTTAACCGAGACATGTGAAATTATGGAACATGAGAGCTGCCATACAATTAGCCAAAAATTCAGAACATGGCTTGCATTGATGCTTAGAATAATGGCAGTTAATCTTTTATATGCAATTTGACATGTTCAGTCATGAATTAAAATCAATGAATCAACATGTCAGAAACTACAGATTTGAAAACAAACCTGAGAATCAAGCAAGTAAACAGCACAAACATTGAAACTCCTGCGCCTTAATTCATCAACAAAATTCCTTAGGACAGGAACATGCGAAAACAGTTCTATTTGACCTGTTTCAGAGTCACATGACTGATTCTTAATAGAATTATATAGAAAAGGCCTGAAAAGGGAGCTCTACTTCTAGTCATAAGCAAAAAATTCTCAACTTCTTTTAGACCCATAAAAAGATTCTATACTCAGAATTCCTTAGAAGGGGAAATAATGTTGGTATAGCAGTTGACCCAAAAACATGAGTTAGTTACTCTTCAACGACACTAGGAAGAAGAGTTACAGAATGTAATTGGGATAAGTTATCAATAACAATTAAAAATCTCTTACTGTCCTGCCAAAATATCTGCACTACTATTCAGCTAATTCGAAATTCTTGTATCAAAATGAAGAAGAAACCAAAACATAAGAGACAGAAAGCTTAGCAACTACCACGGAAAATAGCTATCAAGCTCATGAGATCTCAAACTGTTTTGAATTTCTCCAAAGGCTCTAATAAATCTTTGCAGCAAGTAAACATAGACTGGAAAAAAACATTTTTTTTTCTTTTAAGAAGAAGTTAACTGATGGGATAAAAACATTGTCAACAAAATTTTGTGCATTTAGCTTAAGAGACTCAAACAAAAGAACAGCACACTTAGAGACTTTGTAGCAGCATACAAAATCAAGGATTAAACTACAAACTTCTCAAGCTCTGGTGTTTTGCTTTATACTTGTAACTCATTAAGCAAAATTTCATTCATGATTAGAAGATAAAGGTACAGCGGATTACATAAATTTTCCTTCTTTAAGTAAATGATATGGAGTGCAGATCTACAGGATAGTGCGGTGGCAACGATAGTTAGTTTCCAGACTGCAGATCTACAGGCAACATCTCGGGATTTTGGAGGTCTGTCCTTCGCTGCCGTGCAGATCTACAGGATAGTGCGGTGGCAACGATAGTTAGTTTCCAGATCTACAGGCAACATCTCGGGATTTTGGAGGTCTGTCCTTCGCTGCCTGAACAATTTCATCCAACATATTTGCTTTCGCCCGGGGGGGGGGGGGTTAAATTTTGGACCGACATTTGGATTGGCCACGCCCCTCTCAGGGACCAGTTCCCTAATCTTTTCCTCCTAGTTTGTCCATTCCACTGCAGCCTAAAATTTCAGTGGCTCTGGGGCGTCTAGATCATGGTCGCCATTTTTCAAGAGGCATATTGCTGACAATGAGTTAACAGAATTCACAGCCTTGTCGGAACTCATGCACTCTGTATTCTTTCCTCCTAGTGGCGAAGATAGGGTCACATGGGCTCCAACAGCCTCTGGACAATTCTCAACGTCCTCTTTCTTCTGGTCCCTAACTGATGTCAACTCATAACCTGCCTCTTCACCCCCTACTTTCACCTCTAGAGCCTGGTTCCCTCTCATTCCCCCGAGGATTCAGGTGTTTGCTGGATCGCTCTCTACGAATGGGTGTTAACTGTATATCAGATCCAACGAAGGGGTGTGCCTGGCCCCAACAGATGTGTCATGTGCTTTGAGGCTGAAGAATCTAACGTGCATCTTTTTCTCCACTGCAACATGGCTAAAGCCCTTTGGAACGACCTTCTCCTACTCTTCCGATGGTCATGGGTCACCCCTAGATCAATTCCAGATCTGTTTGGAAAGCCTCTGCGGCTGCAACCATTTGGGTGTTATGGAGAGAAAAAAAAATCAAATTTTCAGGGGCGAGCATTCCACAGTTCCATCCTTGATTGTGAAAGTCAGAAATTTTGTCTCCTTTTGGGCTAGAAATCATAAGGTCTTTAAAGATTATGGCCATTTTGACCTTTTCAGCAATTGGAATTCTTTGTTGTCCCTAGCCCGTTCAAGTGAAAGAATTGAAAAGGGCATGGGGTAGGACCCAAAGGACATGGTTGGAAGGAGTCCAAAAAGATATGGCTTTAAATATAGTAGAATGGCGGACCAGGATTTGTGTAGCCATCCCCAATTAATTGGAAAAAGGCTATCATGATGATGATGTTGTCCCTAGTCCCCCCCCCCCACCCCCCCAGAGTCACTCAGTCCTCTCTCTAGACACCGCTGAAACCTGGCTCAATCAAGCTCAATTTTGATGGTTGCTCCCTTGGCAACCCTAGGCTCTCTAATATTGGAGGACTCTTCAAAACCCATAACGGCAATACGCTCTTGTCTTTCTCCCACCCTATTGGTCTAGCAGACTCTACTCTTGACGAGGCCCTTGCCCTTTTGGAGGGCCTTCACAATTTTAATCCCTGTTGGAGTCCTGAATTAACTGTGTAAGGGGATTCCAAAAATACCATTGCTTGGGCTTCCAAACCATTCCCTGTGGGGGCCTGAGAATTTGGGGCGTCTTGATTACATTTTTGACGAGATTACTCGTATCTGTGGGGGCCTGAGAATTTTGTGGAAACATGTCTATAGGTAAGCCAACGCTGACGCTGACTTATTTGTGATGCGCTTAAGCCCTCCTGATTCCCCCACCCCCCCCTTCTCCTTTTTTGTACTTTTTACTTACACTTGAAAAGCATTTTTTGGGTGCCCAGTGTCCCTCATTTTTGTACATTCTATTTTATGCAATATAAGTGATTATGCCCCAAAACAAATGACATAGAATTGTATATGTCATAACTCATGAGTACGACAAGACTAAAGGACCGTGATGGAGTTCCCTATATGTAGCACATTTTTTAGCCCCCACATCTAGCGAGGGGCAAGAAAGTCCGCAAACTCCTCAGTATCACTAAGACGTATACAAACAATGATTACCATCATTTAGTGACCTAAAAACTCTTCTCCAACGCATCCATGTCATACCCAAAAAAGAAACGTAAGCAGCAGGTGTACTAAAAAGCAGATGTCTCTTAATATGCAGCTCCAGTTACAAATGATACTTATTTCCCTATACTAAGATACCAATAGACTCTCTGATTTTTCCAGTGGTAACCTTTTTCCCATTGATGCCTCAGAACCAGTCTATCTGACTGGCTCAATCAAATATATAATGATCACCATTTGCTTTAAATCTGCAACAACTAGACTCGCCATCTATTTTATGAAGACCTAAAAATCGATGCAAAGTCAAATTCCTCCCCACCACGGTGGAAAGCTTTTCAGCACACTATCTCTACCAAACTTTCTCAATATTTTTCAGAAAGACCCTAATTAAGCTTCTAAACATTTTATTAGCAATATTTTAAAGTTCTCCAAAGCTGATTTTCCTCACCCAAACAACTAACAACTATCTCATGAAAAAGTTCACATTGAAATGTCCAACCACCAGAAAAAGAAAGAACAAAGGTCAGTGCAATATCATCGCCAGAAACATTAGTAAGTCCTAGCTCATATACAATTTGTTGGATCAAGCAAAACAGACTAAATTAAAAAAACATCAAAAACTAACCAGCAAGGAAAAGCCCAAATTTAACTCAATTGAAATTTGTTTTCATCACACAATGCCTTAAGTCTAAACATTGGCGACAATGAAAAAAAAAAAAAGTCAAGAACATATTTTGAAAGGTTAAGATCGCTAAAACATAGAATATAGAATAGATGTACATTAGATTACGCAAAGTACCTGGGCAATCAAAAACAAGATAATCATCATCCGTATAATGCTCCAATTCTTCTGCCAGCCAATCTTGCAAATTATCTTGCAGGTGCCTGAATGAGAATCAAGGTCATACAAAATTTTACAGGGAAAATCTTTCACATATCCGCCACACTAATGAGAATTAGAACTTCAATTTTAGTTCACATTGAAGCACAAACAGCATGATCCTGCTGTCGCACCTCTAACCAGCCCAAAGTAGCTTTTGTTTTTTGAAATTGTCTTAAGTAGCTAATTTTAATAACACACAATGGAATTACATGAAGCATGTTAATAGAATGATCCTAATAGATTACGAACCCAATGCACAAACTGACCCTGAAATAAGCAAAACACTGGCCACCTACCAACCGAAAATTTTGCCCCTTATATCCAAAGGTGCCAATCAAAACCCATGAGCCAAGTTGCTCAATAGCCCCCATCAAAGTCTATCAACTGGGGAAAGGAACAAAATCTTTAGATTGTCAACCTTGGAGGGAAGCCATGGTAAAATAAACACAATTAATATCTAAATCAGAAGCCAGAAAGCCCACATTAAATAGATGGGGAAGGAACCCATGTTCCACAATAGCCTGTGTCCTCACTTTTGTTCAAATGTAGAAATCATTCATAAATTCATGGAATTAGTGTCCTGACAGGAAAAAAATAAGTTTCAAAAATTAACGCAGAGCCACGACAAACTGACTAGCCAAATAATCAGCCTCCGCATTGACTTCTGGGTATACAGGGAGGGTTAAAACATCAATAGATTCAAATATGACCAATATTTCCTCGTGATGGATTCCAGCAACAATCGTTGCTTGCCCGACTTACCAAGTTCTAAAAGGTCCCCTCAATGCGAACATGCCCCAAAAACAATCCCAAAGGACCCACAAGACACTAAAGAAGGCTTTCAGCATCCAACGAATAGGCTTGTACACTCCCCATTCATCTCCAATAACCCCCCAAACTCCAATGGAGCCTAGGTTATTCTTCGAACTACCATTAATTTGTAGCTTAAAAACTCCTACAGGTGGGCTAGACCACCTCTCCTAGTGATGACCTACTTGGGCCATGCTATCACCTGCCCTTCAATTCATCCCTAATGCCACATCACTACCATCAATGGTTGTTTAAATGGCGCATCAAATAAAGTTAACCATTCAAGTGGACACCTAGACAACATCAAAAGGGCCCAAGAAGATATCCAAGTCACACACACAAAATTCAAATTACGGAAATGTTCATCCAATCATAATAGCTTCTTCCTTTTTTTTTCAACAACAGATACTCAAATTTTATTAAAAGATAAAGAGATTAAAAAGCAACAAAAGCAAGCAGAGCCCTCCTTAACCATCTAGCACCAACAAATTCAGCCACCCTACACCTTGCCAACTCGTCTGTCTTTCCATTAGGCTCTCGGTAAACATGTCCAAAAGAAATGTTTAGCCTCTCACAGAAATGTGCAACCTGAACAATAAATTTGTAAGTGCCCAAGGAATCTTCCACACCATTTTGCACCAATTAACAATATTCAAGGAATCACATTCTACTTCGATCATCTCCCCCAAATTCCTCTCCTCAATAATCTTCAAACCCACGAGTAAGGCCTACAACTCAGCCTCATGGGCGGTAACCAGAGGATCTCGCCAAAACAATACTATTAGATCCCTAAGTCTCTACCTAGACCTCCCACTCCTGCCGATTCCAGATTCCAAATGGAAATTTCATTGAAATTCAGCTTAATAACTCCCACCATTAGTGCTGTCAACATACCTACTCTCGTTCTCTTCAATTTTCCCATATTCACAATACTTCGAAGGTTGAACTGCAAATCATGTCTAAATATACCCGGCATTCCTCTCTACTCAGCGATCAATTAATCATGGAGACCAAAATCTTGCTTTTCAATTTCTCCACCTCTAAAAAGGCAATCTCGAAAAACCTATGCTTCCTTGCTTTTCCAAACCTCCCAAAGAATAGAAGCCCGAAGAATTTTCCAAAGATATATTCCCACAATAGGAAGGTTAGGTCGGTTCAAACGACCCAAAATTTGAGTAGCTTATCTTGGAAAAGCACGTTGAAAACCCAACATATCCAAAGCCCATGTCCAAATTTCACAGGTAACGGGACAATTGAGAAAAAAGTGACATGTTTCCTCATTCTTACACAATATAGAAAGCCTAACCGTGATATTACCCCTTCTCCTCAGATTACCCACTATCAAAGTGCAACTAAGAGAAACCAACAGAAGAAAGGACTGCACCCTGTGAAGAATAGGCAACTACCAAATCTTCACTACTTCTGGATTCATCCAGCTAAAACTATCATAAACAACAACCAAAACATGGACCTAACCGAAAACACACCTCCAGCTCCTCTCTCCCAAACTATGTCATCATCCCCATCACGGCAGTAAAAGATCTGTTGCAACTCAGACATTAACTGCTGAAGATGATCTCCGACGCTCTGTTGTATCTGCACCTAATACTCCAAGTAGAGTGGTAACCCCTCACCAAAGCTACATCCTTAACTGTAACAGCCTGGTTATTAGCAAGCTCAAATAACTCCAGGAACCAATATTTTAAAGCACACTCCCCTCCACTACCAATCCTTTCAGAACTTGATAGCAACATATCTCCCAAGAACAAGTGAATGTTGCAGGTACTTCTACTCACACAGAGTCTACATAAAGGTCACCCCATGGTAGTACAAATATGCCATCAAATCCTCATGCCCCACCTTCACCCATGAACCAAAACACAGTCTCACTCACCCTCATCAAAGTCTTTTCTATATCATCTAGTCGAGTTGGAATCCTAAAAAGTGGTAACATAACATGTTGTGTCGTGTCAGACACTAGCAAAACATGTTGAAAAAGATGCATATGAATCCAGGTAATAAGTCTAAACAGCTTAAAACAAGGAACAATAGAAATTTTCAAGTTTTAACTGATAAATAGATTATAAAACAATTAAAAGATGAGTTGAAGAATACTCCATGCAGTAGATAAGACCCCCATTTGGGCCTAAGCCAAGCTCTTCCATAACATCATCCAAAGATATGAGTTGCCTGATATCTGCACATAACATTTATATAAGCATTCATGAGGATCAGCATGAGTGCTAAGATATTCTCAAAGCAAGGTATGACATAGACGCGCATGCACATGCACACAATGACATATCAATGGATTGCATGCTTACCCATGTCCACAGGATAGTCAAAGTGTTCTGCAGCAGGATCCAGGTTAACAATATGCACTCTCCGCCCAATGGTTTCACAATGTTGGTGCAAATTAGAGCAGTAAGTGGACTGTTAAAATATGAAACTAAAAGGTCAACAAAATCCCAACAAAGAAGCTCCAAACCATCAAAAATATAAAGTTAGTCCAACTCATACCAAATAAAAAGCGTCAATAATTTTAGCCAACTGGAGAATATAGTGACATTGAATAATTTCAGCCAAGAAAATTAGGCGGTAAAGAAAGTAGTCATCAAAAGATCAGTTTAGCACCTTTCCACTGCCTGCAGGGCCCATAACAAGTTGCGCATAACCCATGGTAAATACCAAACTTGATTACCAAGGATGAATAAAATCAAAAGGAATATTGAAGAGACGGAGAGGTCCAAGGATTGCCACTACAGCATAAGCAACACACCACACAGCAGCAGCAAAAACCACAGTTACGCAAGCATAATGGCCCATAACCACATGGGAGACATGGGCATCAGAATGAAAACACCTGAGTACCAAATCAAGACATTTTCCATTAGTAAAAGTACTGAAAAAACTATCACAAATGGAAATTCATAGATACAAATAAGCATGCTGACTGCAAGACTAAACTCAGAAGATTCATGTAGCATATCATGATATCCTGCAATTCCAAAAAAGTAGCACTAAGGAAAGAATCAGATAGTTTGCAAGTGAAACCCTGATGAGAAACCATCCATGACATAACGGAAAAGAAAGTATCAAACAAGTTATGCGCTAGGGAATTAATGGATACAAATGTAAAGCTCACACTTTAGGAAATGAAGTAGATTTAATTATTCAAAGAAGTAATTTGAGTCATTGACCATGGGAATGAATCCTAGAGATAGACCGGAACTCTAAAAACTGTACGATGTCATGAAATAACCAGATAGTAACCACCAAAGAAGATTTCCAGTTGACAAAATTATTCATGACAAGTTGACAAGAACAAAAAGAATCCAGTGAACCAATTGATATGATAAAGGAACTAAAACTTCCCTAAATTAAAGTAAACCATGATAATGTCAGAACTACATAAGGTTCACTATATTGAGGTCATAAGCATCTGATACATAAAACCCTTTTAGATATGTTCAACAAAAAAGGAAGCGAACACATGTGTCTTATTCATTATGAGGTCACTAACAATCATACAAAAGTTTGCACCTTGCATTTGAGCAGAACATGTATTTCACGTCACAAATTTTGAGAGAACGCAAGTATATTGGTTTAGCCATTCAACTTCACAAGCATACAAAGATAGAGAGAGTGTGTGAGGACTTATTTGTTTTTAACTATTAGGCTTTTGAGCTGCTTCTCTCAAACTAGCCAATGTTTCTGAGAGAAAATAATAAAGAATTAGTTTCCTTTCGTATGATGAAAGTGGGCTTCAAATAGAGATAACTATTCCTCCATACGGAAATTATCCAAGAAAAAGTAATATCATAAATCATGTGAATGGATGATGATAAATCGGAAAACAAAAGGAAACACAAAGCAATAATATTGGCTTCAGGAAAATAAAAATTAAGCAATGGAATGAGGGAAAACCTTATAAATATAAATGGTAGCAAAGACAATGTAAATAAACTGATTAAATTATCTTGTTAGCATATATAAAACAAGCACTGAAAATTATGATATAACACAGTTTCATGCAAAAAAAAAAGGGGCAATATCATGTATTATATACACAATGTGTGCACCTATATACAAGTTTTTACAGGCATGCATCCACCTTTCTCACTCTTAGGGCCTGTTTGGCTCCCTAAAACTATTATCTGATTTAAATCCTACAAATGAATAGCTGGAAGGTTCAAATCCAGAGTTTGAATATACCGTATTAGTTAAGCATATGAATAGAACACTGGAAATACATTTTCACTGTTTGGCTCACTTGCTTGTAAAACTTAGATTTGCCAGTTTGGAAGGGATTGCAATACATTTAATCATAGCTACTTTCATAATCGGTATGTGTGTAATGGTAAAATTTACAATTGAATGAATCAACAAATGAATGGTTTTACTTTTCAGTTGATAATGTGCAAATATAAGCAACTGAAGTGCATTTAACATTTTGTTGAAGAAACGTGCCATTTAGCTTTTACAATTATTTTTTTTAATAATTTTCTTAAATTTTCTTCTTCTTTTGTGTCTATCATTTATTTTCCAAACCAAAGTAGGCAGCGAAGGACTATCACAGAGAAAATCCCTTAAAGGTTGACAAAAATTAACTTTGACAATAAAACGATCTCATAGAAATATATCATCTTCTGAAAGAGCATTTTCAATTATAGCACACATTCAAATTTACATATAAATGCATTATCTCCACTATATCCAAAAGAAAGAGAGGATGCCAACTTTTCCATAATTTAAAAAAAAGAAAAAAAAGATTATGGAGCTATGAAACTGAATCTTATGCTTTCTAAGTCTTTCTAACATATATAAGCAAAATAGCCTCTCTCTCTTTCTAGAAAATAGTAACTACTTTCTCTCACTAGAGATCCCCAGCAGAGAAAAAAATAGTTTCTTCCTCTAGAAAAAAAATTTTAATCATGAATAAACAAACCGAAGAGGAAAAGCTCATTCAAACTAACAAAAATGGTACAGGAAAAAATCAAACAAATGATTTGACAAAAACCCACAAAAAGAAACAAAAAAGCATATAAATAGAGGAGAAAACCATGAGAATAGGGGAGAAACAGAGCATTGACATGGCAAGCAATTCTTACCCTTTCACTTCACTCTCAAGTTAATTAAGCTCAACCTTAACTGGACGAGACCCCTATAAGAGATTAATGAACTCATCAGTCTCTAAACAAAACAAACCCTAGGTGGGATTTTTCTTCTGCTCCTTCCCTCTCTGAAGGAAACCGAGGAGGTCAGAGCATGAGACAGTGATTCTTTCTCTCTGCAATCCCAGTTGAGAGCGATACAGGGGGAGAGAGGGAGATGTGGCGCGTTGTAAAACCGGTGGGCTACGTATATATACCGGCGCGTATCTATACTCCCGCGGGAGCACAGTACTGCGACTCGAGATTTTCTTTTTTGTCTTTTCTTAAGCCTCACAATTCGACGATTATTTTTAAAATAAAAATTTTAAATTTTTATTTTTTTAACACCAAGGTCTTATCTTTCAAAATTTGGCGGCCTCTATTTAATGTTGAGACCTAAGAAGATTCAATTCAGATTTTCTCATTAAGATTAGTACAAAAGTTGAAGAGGTTATGTGCAAAGGATTCGGGTCCTAAAAATATATTTGAGGGAGCAAATGCACAATATAAGGAGCATGAAATCTTTTGGCAATATTATGCGGCAAGCCAAACCACAACGAACAAGAAAGAGAAGGTTCGCGAATGCAATGAGGAGCTTCTCAAGCGCAAGCTTTTTATGCTTTCCTTGTAACATAAAACTTATATATTTCTCCTTATCCAACCGTACATTTTGAATACATGGGTAAGATTGTCCGAATCACAATACGATATTTTTATACTATATTATTTTTAATTTGTTTATAAATTATTTTGATACCAAATTTTATACATCAAATCTTTTATTAAACTCACACTAGCGAAAACTATAAAAAAATTATTTCTAATAAAATAAAATAACTAAAATACCAAATGTTTTATAAGTGCACACCAATGCGAAGATGGCAAGTACCAAATTTCATATTTATACAATTTGTATAAAAAAACTAAAAATAAAATACTATAAGACGTCAGATTTAAGATCAAACAGTGAGTGGCTTGCTTGATCAAAATTGGATGGTTGGATAGTTGGATGGTAGGAAAAGCATTTATCTTCTTTGTAGGCGAAGTATAGAAACCATTCCTATGTCCCAAATCTCTTCAGCAATTTTAGTTTTATTAGTGAGAGGATGCCATCAAATCAATCATTTCAACGTCGATCACTATGACAAGAATTAATACTATAAAGTAGTTTATATCATAACATATTATATAGACCATTTATTTTAAGCCTTAATCACATATCTGTGATATATTTGTCATTTTTTGAGCTACAAATTTTACAATAGATTTTAGAGTTATCACAAGGGTTTCTCATGCCCAAGTGTTTCCAATACAAGATTTTGTGGTAGGGCTTTACATGTTTCAATGAAGCCTATCCATGCAGAAACTGCATTCTTAAAAAATGAATGATTTCCCTGCTCAACAAATTTGAATAAACAAAAAATGCTATCAAATAAATATCATTAACATTATGAGGGTATTCATGTCTTTCTAACTAATGGCAATTATTTTACATGATGTTTCATTGACCGAAATTTCAAAAATAAAAAATATTCTCCAGCCAACCCTCTTTACAACAAAAATATTCTCCAACTCTCCTTACAACAAATCCGCTTTCTCCCCACAACCACCACAATACTAATCATTTTCAACATGGTGCTTCCCTCCCATTTTATAAAAGCTAGAGTTTGTCGCCAATTGTAAATTTCTAAGGCACTGATCGAACCTATCCATCCAAATTTGGCTAAAACAAAAATGGAAGATAATAGTATATGATGAACTACATTGCCGAAAAGCAAACCATTGAAATTTCCTTCGAAATAGTCATAACTAACATGCCCTTCGATAGAAACACAGAAAAAATTTAGTTTCCCACCCTCTAATTTTGTTGATTTCCACCAATGTTTGACCTGAACTCTATAAATACCTCAAATTTTGATCATGTCAGGGGTTAGAAGGATGGAAATTATCCTGAGACGAGAGATATGAACTTGAAAGCTCAGGTTCTAGGGAAAGATGAGGGAACGAGAATTGCCGAAACTGAAAACATATTATTAGAAAAAAAAAAAATGCAACAACCAGCATCATAACTCTATTTATGTTGAACAGTGTGTTGCTCGATTACATAAACAAATTTCATTCATTTGGGGAAGGAAAGAGTATATATATTACAAGATTTCATAAACTACAATACAATTAACGTTGTACACATGATTGGCTTGCGATTGAGCCAGGCAAACTCTTGTTAAGTTAAATGCACCCTATTTATCGAGGCCAGATTATCAAGCTCCCATTGATATCTCAAACCAAAAGGAATGATGGTACATATAATCCTCCTCATTGGGGCCACTTAACTATGGTGGCTGGGATGAAACCACTTGTTTAGGTGTATTTGTGCATCAGAGCTCCCGATGATTGGCATGTGACAAATGTGTACCCCAAAATAGGTACAAAACTTAGGGATGGGCATCTAAGCATCATTTTATCCCAAAAAAAACCCTTAGAATGTACGGTAAGTGATGGTTATTGATCAAAGACAACCCACCAATTGCAAAGGCACATGGTTGTTTTGTTCCGACTTGAGTTTGGTAACTTATTGTTTATGCGCAAAATTTTTGGCAGAGCAACTATAACCTTTGCCTCGGTTTCGGGTCTAAATTCGTTGAGAGAGAGAGGTAGCAAAAGGACCCTATCGAATTGTGATTCGGGCGGGAGGCTGGCCTTGAGACTGTCCCTAAATGGATCATTGGCGGTGCTGGCTCCTGAGATGGCATGACTGGAAAGTCACTAGAAAGTTTCAAAATGGGGTTTTTTTGAGAAAAGAGGGGGAGATTGAGAAAGCGTTTTAAGAAATAGATGGAAAAAGTGATGGAAAAGAAAGAAAGAGGGGCATACCTCAAGTCGCGCTGCCAGGCCTAACATCCGGAGTCGGTGCCGATTCAGAATCAATATGGATGCACCGACTTTTTCTAGTCCTTTGAGAGTCCGCCGAGCAAGGCGATCAAAGCCGAATGTGCTTTTAGGGGTTTAAAAATATCGGAATTAGGTTTGGGTGTCTAAGGTCATAGTTCACATCTAGTAGGTCAAGGGGATTCATCTAGTAAGAAAGCCATCTGGGGAGGTTTTTTGGATTTAAAATTGTAGAAACATTTAAGATAGAAAATAATTTATTAAAAATGTAAGACGTATTTTATACCAACTGGACCCAAATAAAATTCTTAAATGAACAATAAAAATTACCAAAATTTTATTCAGTTACCGTACTATTTATTATTGCATCAATTTCCCAAGCATGAGAAAATAGGAATATCTAAATTGTATATCCAAAATACTTGTGGAGTGCATGTCCCTCGTGATACTCTAGATCAGAATTCGTGTTAATTAACACTCAAATTTGACCTCCTAAAAATTGAGTTGCATCTATTTAATGTACAAACTCTCTCTAGCACTTATATAATTCAACTAAATTATTTTGATAAATAGGACTGAGTTTTGGTAGTCACCCTTATCACTAAAATAATCAAATACTATTTCTTGATAAGTGGGATTGAGTTTTCATAGTCACACTGACAAATAGAGCATTTGTATCGAGAGGCATCATCATGTAATCTCTCTTAATGTAAAACTTAGAGGGAGACTAAGAGGCAAAATCTTTGTGATCAAATATTCATAAATCATATAGTTTAGCACATAATACTTTTTATTTTTTATTTAAACAATTGTTTCATGTGGGCTGGACTCCATTTTTACAATATGCGGCCCAAAGGTATAAAGCATCCATTTTGAAGATGAATGCAAATAGGTGATCCACCTAAAAAACAATTTTAACTAATGGCCCAAATATTTTCTTAATATAATTATTATTTCCAGTTTTCAAAGATTATATATTCTCTAAAAAATAAGATCAAATTATTTAAAAAATATATTTATTGCCAAGCCCGCATTTGTACATGTGCAGGCTTGAGCGCATGCTAACCGCATCCTTTTTATTTTGGTCTCAGTCCATATTAAAAAAAAAAAAGGGGGGGAAATTGCATAAATACCCTTTTTATTTTTTGTTATTATAAAAATACCTAAGACTTTTCATTATTGCTCATTTGTCTGTTTTTTTAACTTCATAGCAAGTTTTTTAAAAAGACAAAACTATGCATTTTTTATATTTCAAAAACCAAAATTTTAATAATTTCGGATTTTCAAAAACCGAATCTATTTGTTTTTCGGTTTTCTAAAAACCGAAACTTTATCTAAAGCTGGTCCAAATCTCATCGAATCTCATATTCGTTATATATAATACGATACTTACTTTTATTATTATTACTCAAATAGCATATTGGTAAAAGCATATGGGTATCTTCACCAAGTTTTGGTATCAAATCTCGCTCATTCCATGATAGGGATTTTTTTCCCCTTTTTAATAAAGGAAAATGAATTTTAACCCTTCCCCATAGTTTACCAATCCAAAACTGTCCAAAATCTCACTCTTTCTCATCGCTCCTGATCTCTTTAAGTTTTAAACTCTCTCTCATCACTCCTACTCTTCTAAGTTTCAAACTCTCTCTATCTCTATCTAAAATATCACCTCATTATTACATGAGGTTATGTACAAATCACAGTCCACAAATACAACTGTTCTTTATTTTTTGGCCTTTCATTTAGGAGTTTCTCTCTTTTCTACTCATTATGAGCCCCTCCACAATTGAGTCTGTGGTTGGGCACCCAAATGGGAGAGAGAGATTACCTAGTTGGGTCTTTGCCATGGCACCCAAAGTGAAGAGAGGGATGAGAGAGAGTCTCTCCTTACTTGGGTCTTTCTTATGGCATCCCAAATTAGAGAGGGGCGAGAGAGATACCCAAGAGCCTTATTGAAAAACTTAAAATCCACTTTTTATTGAAAAAATTAGATTGCGTATGATGGGAGTCAAACCCTTAACGTAAAGTGTAGATGCATGCATGATAACCAAAAATCATCCATGAGTATAAATATTTGAGCATACATAATATTGATAAACAATTGATACATAGGCCAAGGCCAATTAACTTAGCCGAGCCCATAAACAGTGAAATTTAGTTTTTCAAAAACTAAAATTTAAGAAATTTTGATTTTTGAAAAATAAAAAATGGGTATTTCCTTCTTTTTTAAAAAAAAAATTATTATAAAGCTAAAAAACGGACATATGAGTCATAATGAAAAGTTTTAGGTATATTT